AAGACAAAGGAGAGAACATAAAGCCGACCCTCTTTGCCCAGGAACTTGGGGACCATGAGCAGGTTGGCACAGCGGAAGTGGGGGGACGTGGCCCAGCCCAAGGCAGTCACCCCTGTGGGGAGCAGAGAGCTGACCCCACGGTCCCACAGAGAACCCCCTGGGTCTCCCGATGGCCCCCCATCACCCCAGTCCCCTCCCCGCCACATCCTCACCCGTCAGCCCCCAGGTAAGCTTCACCCTGTATGACTCTGACAGGTCCAGAGGCATGATGAGCAGCTGGCAGAGTCCTGAAAGACCCAACAATGTGTCCTGAGCTCCCGGTGCCACCGGCTCCATGGCGTGCCCGGCAGCGGGACACACTCACCGAGGCTGAGGAGCATCCCGAAGCCAGCGCCCAGGAAGATCTTGCTGCAGCGATGCTCGGCCGGCCGGCTCCAGAGGAACCGGCTGCACGGGCCGGGCAGGACCGCGACCACCACTCGCTTCAGGGCTGGGTGGGGAGGGAGGTGTCAGCCCTGCCTGCTCCCACTGCCCACGCTCAGCCCCGGCCAGGAGCAGGGTGGGAGGGGATCTCACTTGTGTTGGGACGTTTCTTCCTCCTGCGTGTCTCTGTCCCAGCCGAGGGCTCTTCCTGGAGCTGAGAACGGTGGGATGCTGCCCTAGAACCAACACCGGTGCTGTCATGGGGTTCTCCACGTTCTGTCACGTTCCCCAGTGGAACATGGTGGGAAGGGCTGGGTGGCCACCGAGCCACCACCTCCCGCAGCTCGCTGCCCTTGCTCTCAGCCTGCTCCTTGTAGTCAAGCATCTCCTCATCGCTGGAGTCCCTGCGGGGGGAGAGAAGAGAGGGGTGAGCTGCAGCCCCCCCCCACCCACTGCAGCCCCCAGGCTTGAGTGGGCTCCCAGCACCCCTCTGCTCACATCTCCTCGTCCACAGAGCCCGGGTAGTTCAGGGTGGCCATGCAGACAGAGCAGGTGTTGTTCAGGGCTCTGGAGCACTCCTTGCAAAACAACCCTGAGGAAAACAGGACCATCAGAGGGGACACAGCATTTTCTGGGGAGGGGATCCCCAAGCTAGAGGGGCTCCTACCTCTGCAGCTGGGAGTGATGCACGCACTGAAACCCGGCTGCTCCACTGCCCCACAGGCCAGGCAGTGTTTCTGCTGGATGCCAAGGAAGCGAGAGAGGCGGGCAAGGACAGGGAACCTGAGGGCACAGGGTGATGCTCCATGGGGCAATGCCATCCTTGCCACGGACCCCCAAGGATGCTGCTGCCCTTTTCCATCCCTTGTGAGAGCTTACCTGGAGATGAGGATGAGGAAGAGTTTGCTTTTCCTACCATCAGCCGTGCCCTGTGTGCCACTTGAGCGCAGGGCAAGTGCCACCCACTCCCGCCGTGCCAGGATGATGTTGTGGAGGAAGACCATGCGCTCCTGGCATGGAGGGGATGGGGTGAAGGCAGGTGGCTGCTGAGGGGGTGTAGAGTGGGACATGCATACACGGGGGGCTTCTCACCTGCTCACGGGACGGGTAGTAGGCGGCACACACTGCCTGGCGCAGGCGTGCCATGTAGGAGCCAAAGATGGTGATGAAAAGCCAGAGACCGTACAGGATTCCTGGTGGGAAGAAGACAAGTTGTGTAGGGGCAGCCCCCTTGCACCCCCCCCACCCACCGGGGTCGCTGAGGGCGCAGCCCCCCTGTCTGCACACCGATGGTGATGTAGGTGTTGTGGTCGGGCTCCATGGGCTCGATGAGGCAGGCCTGGGACAGCACCGAGACCTTGCCCTCCTGCAGCGCGTTGAAGGCGGACACCAGATCCTGGAAGATCTCACTGGTGTAGCCCGTCCCGTTGACGCTGACAGCCACTGTCGATGGCGCTGTGGGGCGAGAGCGGCTCAGTCCTGCGGTCACCCCGAAGCCCCAGCCCCCAAGGGTGCTGATCCGGTGCAGTGGGTGCTGCTCACCCCTGGCAACGATCTCCGCGCTCAGCTGGTGCCGGAACAGGTCAAGCAGCCAGAAGATGCTGTAGTCGGCCAGGATGATGCTGAAGCCCAGCAGCACGTGGCGCAGCAAGCCCATCAGCTGGATGCCATACTGCCGCCTCTCTTTCTTTGACAGCCACAGCGCGGCTGGATGGCCACAAGAGCACCGTGAGGCCGTGCCGGGAACCCCCGGCTCCTCGTGAGGCCGTGCCAGGAACCCCCGGCTCCTCGTGAGGCTGTGCCAGGAACCCCCGGCTCCTCGTGAGGCTGTGCCAGGAACCCCCGGCTCCTCGTGAGGCCGTGCCAGGAACCCCCGGCTCCTCGCCGCGCTCAGGGCTGGGCTGGGGGACACCCCCCGGGGTGGGGCTGACCTGGGGGGATGTAGCGGCCCCTCTCCCGCGCCGTCAGGGGCAGCACGGTGGGTCTGCCCTGCTCCGCCCGCCGCAGGTCCAGCTCCACGAAGCGCCGCGTGATGTAAACGTTGTCGAAGGTGTCGTCCCACAGGTAGCGGCGCCGGTACCACATCGCGCTGGGGACACGGGCGAGCTGAGCACCGGCACGACGGGTGCCCGTCCCCAGAGCAGCACCCCAGCCCACTCACTCACTGGAAGCACAAGTAGAGGATGGCCCAGAAGGAGATGTAGGAGAAGACCTCCAGGCCGTGGTGGTAGGGCTCCAGGTGGAGCTGCACAGCCTCCATTATGTCCCGGGACACCTGCCCCAGGCTCTTGCTGGCGTTGAGGCTGACGTTGAAGTGGTGCACGACCGAGATGTTGAACTCAAACTCCCGGCGGATGTGGTTCAGAGCGTCCGTGATGGCTGCAGGGGCGACAAGAGGCTGTGCTGGGGTGGGGAGCAAGAGCCAAGAGGGGCTCCTGGCCCCCCACGGCACCGGGATACTCACGGGCTGCGACGTTTGCCCGGACGAACTCCTGGATATACTGTGGGATGATGCAGAATAAGCCGGCAACTGCGGAGAGGGGGGATCTCTGTTGGGGTGGGGCCCTCATGACGGACACAGGTCCACCCCACTGCCCCTGAAACCCCCCGTTGCAGAGGGACGGGAACTCACCAACATCAGCCACGTTGCAGAGCCACTTGAAGCCGAGGACGACGTAGCAGATGAAGAAGAGGAGGGGGAGGGCGCGCTCGCAGTCGTCCTTGGCCTTTTCGATGGCGCGAACGCAGCTCTGGTAGGGTGAGCCCAGCTCCTTGTTGCAGACGTCACCGACCTTCGACAGCCACAGCCAGACGTTGTGCAGGATCCGGGCTGTGGGCAGGGAGCGGGTGTTGGAGAAGGGGATAGACTGAGATCAGGGTGGGGGGTGCTGGAGCTGGGCAGACCCCTGGGGGCCTTGGGGACCCCGCTCACCGACGTGTCTGGTGGAGCCCATGATGGAGCGGACGAACTTGCGGACGCGGTCGCTCACCACCTTGGCGTTCTGGCCAATGTCCTTGATCTTGTTCTGCAGGTCTGCAGAGAGGGGGGACCCCTGAGCACACCCCAAGGGGCGAGAGTAGCCCAGGGCTGGCTGGGGCTCCCCCAGGAAGGGTCCCTGCAGTCCCCCCGCCTCCCCCCAGCCCCCTGCTCACTCAGCAGTGGCTGCTTGGCACGTTCCAGCCGCTCGGCCGTCTGGTTTTGGGCCAGTTCAGCCCCGCACGACAGCGCCTTGGCGAGCTGGGAGACATTGTTCAGGACATTGGTGCCAGGGCCCTGCACGGTCATGCACAGCGCCAGCATCACGATCAGAATCTTCCCCTCCCCTGCAGAGACAGGGAAATCCTGGGGCTCAGCTGGGAGCTGACACCCCCCTGGCACCCCCCAGCTCCCCTTCCCATGGTTCCTCACTGGTGAAGAAGTGTGGCAGTGCCAGCAGCACGAGCATCCGCATGTTCCTGGAGAAGGCCATGCCCAGCCCCAGCCCTGCTCCCAGGATGATGGTGATGCACAGGCAGTACCAGACATCGTGGCCCTGCACCAGCAGCACCAGTGCCCCATAAATGCTGGCCAGAGCCAGGCCCAGCACGAGGGCGCCGACACTGCGGGCAAACTCCAGTGCCTGGCTCGGCTCCTCCGGATGGCGCTTGGCCCGAGGCCGCGGTGCCGGGTTCTTGCCCCGGCCCCTCTGCTGCCGCAGGGCTTTGCACAACCCCGAGACCAGCACCATAGTGAGGCTCCTGCTGCTCCTCTAGCTCCCTCTCCGTGGGACAAGAGCAGGCAGAATGAGCAGATTCCAGAGCGCCACTTCCAGGGCACCGTTGTCGGTTCCCACATCACAACCTTTCCGTTGGAACACTCCAGTGCTGTCGGTTCCTGCATCACAAGGGTGCTGCTCACCCTGATGTACGGCTTCCAAACAGAGAAATTCTATTTAACACGTGTCAGAATTGCAGGTCTAATAGGCCTCAGTCCCTGCAGCTGTAGAGGGAAGAAACTTGAGCCAATACATCAATGGGAACCAAGGCCAGCAGAACGCTGAACCAACAGACCAGGGACACTTGGCCACACAACCATGAGATGATGACAAAGAAACAAAGCCAACCACCAATTCAAAGGGCAAACTGGGTAATTCCAGCAAGAGGTGATTGCGGCCACCGAGTCAAAAAACCCACTGACTCAAAAGAAGGAGAAAACTGAGCATGTGGCCTAATTAGCACAAGAAGCGAGAGGATCATTGAACCAACAGAAGATAAAATACTAACTAATGAGGAACCACGTAACTTGTAGCCCATGAATATGTAATGCCTGTTTGCTGAAGTGTAGAAATAGTGACCAGTTTTGCCAGTGGGGGCTGCGTTGGGGGTTGGCCCCCAGCACTGCCTGCACAGAACTGGAAATGCATCAAACTCCTCGGCTCAGGATCTCAAACCGAATCAAAGCTAATTGAAGCAAGATCAGCTTCTTGCACATCAACGGAAGGAGCCTGTTCTGGGACAACACTTTAGTGACCCAGCTGGGGCAGCCATAAAGCCTTGCCCACACCATCTTCCTGCCCCTGGCAATGAAGAATCGGATTAGGCAGGAGTCCTGCAGCGCCTCGGGCTGCGAGCGGTGCTGGAGGGAGGGGGGAAGGTCAGGGCTCATCAGCAGCCCCCCGGCCCCGGCCTCTCCCAGCACAGCAGAGAGGAGGGGGCCCGGGCAGTAAAGGCTGTGACCCCTCATGAAGCGGGGTCTGTGGGGGCGTCTGCTGGGGGTAGGGATCAGATATGGGGGGAAGAAAGGGGTTTAGAGGGGATGGAGGCAGGGGTCTTCTGAGGTGAAGGTGGAGGGTGTAGTGTGCAGGTAATGAGGGTGGGGGTCTCCACTGCCTGGGATGATGAAGATGGAGCTCTCCAGTGCATGAGGTGATGAAGGCAGCGGTGTCTGGAGTACGGGATGGTGAAGGTGGGGGTCTCCACAGCTCTGGGGGATAAAGGTGGGGGTCTCTGTTGCACAGGGGGATGAAGGTGGTGGTCTCCAGAGTAC